CAACCAGAGAGGGGAAAGATCTTTATGATGTAAACAAAAAATCACTGATGAAAAATATTGAAGGTGATATAAAGAAATAGAAGGACATCCTGTGTTAAGGAATTGGGGGAATCAGTATTGGTAATATGTGCATACCACTAGAAGTGATTTCTGAGTGTAATGTAATCTCTGAAATATCATTGGCATTTCTCACAGAACTAGAAAAAGACACCACAGTTTTTTGGTGCCATAAAAGACTCTAAATAGTCAAAGCAGTTTTGAGCAAAATGAACAAAGCATTATGCTCCTTGACTTTTAAATACATTATAAAGCTATAGTACTTAAAATAGACTGTATTAGAAGACACATAGAGACCCTAGAAGTAAACTCACAACTGATCTGTGACAAAGATGCCAAGAACATGAATTGTAAGATAGGCTTTCCCATAAATGGTGCAGGGAAGATTGGATATCACACGCAAAACAATGTAACCAGCAACTTTCACTCACTACGTACAGAACTCAGCAGACCCATAGAATGGCAGATGTTCTAAACAGCACTCTGGCCTCAGAATCAGCCCTTAAGGCATTCGGATCTGGCTAAAGAGCCCATGAGAGTATTTTAGGCATGGAAAGCCAAGACACTATGGCAAAAACAAACAAACAACAAAACCTAAATGAAAGATCTCTGTGAGTGAGTGAGATCCCAGTGGAAAGAACGGGGCCATCAAGGAAGGAGGTACCTTTCTCTGAAGGGAGAACTTCCACTATGACTATGACCCTGTCGGAATAAGATCGAAGTCAGCAAACTCAAAAGGCTTCCATCGCCTTGGCAACTCATGACTTGAGCCTAGGGAGATTACTGACACCATAAACAAGAGTGTCAAATTGTTAAGTCAACAACAGGAGTCACTGTGTACTAACTCCTCATGTGGGATCTCTGTCCTTACTGTGTTGTCCAGTGTGAAGTAGTGCTATAACTAGTACTAAAGCAGTATTTTACACTTTGTGTTCTGTGTGGGTACAAACTGATGAAATCTTTACTTTATATACAGAAGATCGATTTAGTATATATGAAGATAATTGAAAATGAATATTGATGTGAATGGAATGGGAGAGGGAGTAGAAGATGGGAGGGGGGGAAGCCATTGTAATCCATAAACTGTACTTTGGAAATTTATATTTATTAAATAAAAGTTAAAAAAACAAAACCAAAGGACTCAACTAACAATGGATTGCAGATTTAAATGTAAGATGCTAAACTTTGAAACTAATAGAAGAAAACAGAGGAATTGCCTCAGGATATTGGAATGAGAAATAATTTTTCTATCAGACTTCAACAGCACAGGGAATGGACAAATGTCATTTCATCACAGTGCAAAGCTTCCGCAGGGCAGAGGAAGCAGTGCGCTGAGAGGAGAGATGACCACCAGACTGGGAGAAGAGGCCTGCAGGCCACACCTCTGAGCAAGAGTTAATATGCGCAAGTTGGAAGGAACTCAAACAACTCAATAGGCAGCAAGCACACAATCCAGCTGAAAAATGGGTTGTAGATCTAAACAGACATTTCTCAAAGGCTGTTGAACAAATGGTACACGAGAGAACACTGAACATGACTGATCACCAGCGAAACATAAATCCAAAGTACGGTGCGATATCACCTCATTCCAGTTAGATTGGCTGGTATCAAGGAGTATTTGTGAGTCCGTGGAGAAAAGAGAATCCTTGCACCCCACTGTTGGGAATGTCAGTTATGGAAAACAGTACAGATAGTGCCAAAATAATTAATAACAGAACCATCAAAAATGACCCGACATTCTCCTACTGGGTTTATATTCAAGGGAAATGAAATCAGTCTCCTAAGAGCCATGTGCACTTCCATGTTTACTGAAGTACTGCTCACAGCAGTGACGACATGCAAACGACCTCCGTGTCCTTCCACTGATGAATGGATGAAGACAATGTCATGCATGGGTACAGTGGAATGTTCCTCAGGAATATAAGGACACAGCCTTGCCATTCACAACAACACGGATGGAACAGGAGGTCATGATGTCAGATACAGCAAGACAAGTGCAGAGAGCCCAGTATCTCATACCTGGGAGTCTCAAAAACCAAGGTGTTACTGTGCACGTTGACAGTGTTCTGCTGGCTCCCAGCAGAGGGAAGGATCAAGCAATGTTCATTATTGGATGTTAAGGTAAAGCCTAGTGGAAGTAATTAGTTCTGGGGTTCTACGTCACAGCACAGTCACTAGACTGTTAACGTACGGGATGTTTCTCTAAAATCAAAAAATGAGCAGATTGGGGATTTTGGTTGTTACCACCATACAGAATTATTAAATGTTGGCCAGAGAAATTCACCCAATTGAACACAGTACAGTTTCTCTCCATATTGGTACCTCTTAAACAGGTACCATTTGTAAATTTTATTTGAAAGGGAGAGAAGCAGAGACACAGATCTTTGGACAGTGATTAACTTCCCATGTGCATGCAACAGCCGAGTCTGGGCCAGGCCTACACCAGAAGCTGGCAACTCAGTCCGGGTCTCCCACATTAGGAGCCTGGACCCAAGCACCTGCTTCCTCCCAGGGGACCCTTCAGGAGGAATGTGGATCGAGGACCCCAACCAGAAAGCACCCAAAAGAGGATCTGAATCTCTGTGCCCACTCCTAAGTTGACTTTATTTTTGATTTGCTAAAATTGACATGAAACAATTGTACTTAAAAAGCTTCTGCCTATCCAAGTAAAAAAAAAATGACAGACGGCTTATACACTGGAGATGATGGTGACAAAGCCCTGCATCTAATAGTGTGATGATTTCTAGAGTAGATAAGGGACTTAAAAAAAAAAAAGACAATAATTAGACCACCTGAAAAGAGTTTCCCATGTAAGGCAGACTGATCTCTAACAGGTGTATGAAAAGATGCTCACTTCAAGAATTCAACTCCAACCCCCCTTAAGACACTGTTTCACATGTTTACGGATGGCTGTTAACCACAAAGAACAACAACTGGTGATGGCAGAGAGAAAAGGGAACTCTTCTAGGAGGATCCTTTGGTAGGTTTGTGGAAAAATGTCATTGAAGTTATGAGTTTTGTGTTGTTACAAAGTTTTTTAACAATATGTGGAAAGTGTGCTTTATGAAGAAACGCTGCTTAAAATCCAGAGGATTTTTTTTTTTTTGCAACAACAAACTCATATTTTTAATTCAGGTTTTCATGAAGGTTTTGAGGCACTCTTGTATTACTGATGGGGATATAGATTGGTACAGTCATCATGGAAAGCATTATAGTGGTTCCTCAAAAGATTAAAAATAGGACCACCCTACAATCCAGCAATCTCCCTTCTGAACATACAAAGGGTAAGAAATCAATATTTTGAAGGGGTAGCTCTGCCTTCCCATGTTTTCTGCAGCATGGGCACATTAGCCAAGATATGCAAACAATGTAAGTAACTGTTAATGGATTAATGGATAGAGAAAAATGATCTAGTCATAAAAAAGGAAATATGAAGGGATGAATTTGGTAGACATTCTACTAAAGGAAACAAGCCAGAAACAGATAGATACTGTATCATCTTCTCATTTATATACAGAATATATAAATAAGTAGAATGTACAGTAGAATGTAGAATTGAGGTTTCCAGGGATTGGGGGAGATCTCAGTCAAAGGATGTGCACTTTCAAGTTGAAGATTAATAACGCCCAGCATCTAATGAACCGTACGGGTAATATGGATATATTAATTGATTTATGCTGCAACTTTATTGTCTATCTCTGGCAAATACTTCTTATTTTAAAAAAAGGATACCTAGGTGCTATATGTCACTGTAGCTCAGAATAGAATAGAATTACATTTGTAATTATCCAAAGGAAAAAAAAATCCCATCAATATATTTTTCTATATAAGTAGTGCTCTTTAAAAAAGATATCACAGCCAGTCCCTGCTGCCCCACCACTGGTCCCACCCCATTCTGCTCTCTGAATCTGTGGCAATCCCCAGCTCAGATGACAGATTGCTCTACTTTATTTTTGCTGGAGTCCGGTCCTAGACAACTGGGGTGCTCTTGTCTGCTTCTTCAGCTTCATTTAGGCAGACTGCTGTGATGATGGGGAGGTCGGTAATCTAGAGTATTCACCTGTGGGAATGGTAGGTCCTTCTACTTCTAGCCATTACTTTTGATTGGTAACTCACCATTCACTGTAATGGTAGGCAGGGACACACACCAGCTGTGATGGGAACTTCTACTGCCTTTAGTCTTCAGTATTAACACCACAGCATCACACAGAACTCTGCAGTGTCAACATCTACTGTTATAACCTGCAACCAAAGATGATGGATGACCTTACAATAGTAGCTCATGTTTTCTGAGAGCATCGTGACTGGCCCAGTTAGCAAAGCCTGCCACGTGGCTTTTCTTGTTCTTGACATGCTGAGAGGAAGGGCAACTTTTAAATAATATTGGTTCACCCTCCCCCCACCAAATGGAAACAGCCAAGGCTGGCTTAGGCTGATGTGAACCAACAAGAATCCAATCTGGGACTCTTGCAGGAGGGGCAGGATCCCAAGCACTTAGGCTCCCTTCTCGGGGACACCCCCAGGAAGCGGAGTAGCAGGCTCTCAAACTAGCATTGCAATATGTTTGGCTGCTGATGCAAGAGATGGTCCCCTATGCCACAGCTCCAAGGATCTATTTTTCTGTCATTTTCAGATGAAGAACTTGAACCTAAGATAAGTCAGTTAACTAGTCTGAGGTCATTCAAACATTGAGACAGTAACAGACTTACAGGCAGGCTGGCCTAAGCTCTCCCTAGCTGTATTACAGCTGGGTAACAAGTTCAGAAGAGAAATATTTCACATGGTTAAGTGTATGTATGAATGGATTCTTTAAATTTGCTCACGGTGAATAACGCTTATCGGCAGTCTTTGAAGTCAGTTTACTAATATCTGCTGGCCTTTATCTTGCACATATGGAGAGGAACACACAATATCACAAACATGACTTGGCCTTTGTTTTCCAGCTTCCATCGTGGCTCAGAAATGGTGGTGTCACATGAATCCTTGTTTGGAAGGAGAGGACTGCAAAGTACTGCCAGATTACTCAGGTTGGTCCTGTAGCAGTGGCAATAAAGTCAAAACTACAAAGGCAAGTATAGACAAAACACAACTGTCATCTTCAACTCTAGTGCCTTGTGAAACTGAGTTTGGGGGGGGGGCCTTGACATTTTCCTGCCATCCACGAGCACCCTTCTCTGAGGTTGATCAGTTGGCCTGGACAGTGCCATCCAGGGCTTTATCCCATCTCCCAGCATCACCCTGGGCTTCAGGGTTGAGAGAGTAGTGATGTTGTGGGAGACTATACTGTCCTTATTTCAAGTAAAGGTTTCAGAATTGACGGGCTGGTCTATGAGAGCACCATGGCAGATTCCACACGCAGAGGAGTTGCTCGAGCAGAATTAGCTCCTGCCTTAGGGAAGAGTGAGTAGTTCATGATTCTTAAGTCTAAAAAGGCAACCGTTGCCTCCTGACGTGGTCCTTGTGGAGTGCCAGTGTCCATTCAGTTTTTCAGCTATAAACCTAACGTCTTCCTTTGCTCCCCATTCCTTTGATTCCTCTGACTTGTGGATTTTCTTTACCAAATATATAAAGAAAAACAATTTCATGATTTCCTATATTGTAAGCACATAATGATAATTTTTGTTCCTCCCTCCCTCTCTCCTTCCCTTTTAATTTTCATGATAGCATACTTTAAATTGACTTTATAAGCACAGGTAGAAAGATCACTATTCCATAGCAGTTTAGACAAGGGTTATAAATAATAATAGAATGTGAAGATGTCAGCTTCACTCATTTACATTACAGTTTTTGGGTACTCTGTATATGAGCTTCCACTCCTCAGAAAACCATGGTGTTTGTTTTTATGTGTGTGTCTGGCTTATTTTTCTAAGCATAATGATCTCCAGTTCCACCCATTTTATTGCAAAAGACAATTTTTATGGTTGAGTAGTATTTTTTTTCAATCCAGTCATCCACCCATTCAGTTGATGGGCATCTGGGTTGATTCCATCTTTTAGCTATTGTGGATTGAGCAGCTGTAAACCTGGGTGTACAGATAACTCCTTTACCTGCTGATTTCATTTCCTTTGAGTAAATTCCCAAGAGTGGGATGGCTGGATCATAGGGGATATTTCCATCTGTGTAGCCCCAGCCAATCCTGTAACTCATCCAGATTCCTAAGGCTCCCTTCTGGCCTAGATTCCTCCCATGTAGTTAATGCAAGAATGTTTATTCCATGCTAATTCACCCTAAAATCTTCCAGTGGTATCTCCTGGCTCTTTGGCCTAGTGGCCCTTGGCTGTGTGACTGTTCACAGAGCCCCTGGCAAATTAAGCTCTCTGCATTCTTTCTGCTCTAGACATTGGGGCCTTCAAGGTGGCTGTTCCCTCTTCCTGGAAGGTGCTTTCCTTCCTTCCTTTTCTCATCGATCATTATTTCTTCAGGGAATTTCACCAATTGGATTTGTGTCCCCTGTACCTCTAAGCATTGCTTATGGTCATATTTTACAGGGATGGCTATACTTACTTGCTCGATACCTAGACCATTCTCACGGTGGAGCTGTGAAGTCCAGTCCTGCCTCTGTTTTCCCTGGTAGTCCCATAGTCAGCTGAGTGCCCCAGTAACTGTTTCTGGGAAGAAAAGTAATGCCCTCAAGGCCATTCGGATATATTTGGAGTCAGAATACTGGAATGGCATGACTCTGCATCGAGCTGTTTTCTGAGCCTTGGTCTTTTATGAAATGTAATATAGAATGACTGGCTTCTCAATTTTAAATTTTTCCATCTTATGAACATTTTGAATTCATTTACTAGACCCTTAACAAATACAGGTCAGTTTTCCTCCTAAGCAGGTACATGAGCAATAGAAACATTTAAGTATGTTACTAATGATGAGACCTTTAGTAGCTATTAGATCCAAAATTCCAATAAAATAGCAACCTAGTTGACTAGTTCTTTGTTGTCTTTCAGAATCTGGACCATTTTCAAAATTAATTGTGATTATCAACTAACTTGTCATCATTAGTGGTATTGGGATGACTGGCACAGTGACATGACTTACAATGAGCCCTATATATTTGCAGCTATGCAGTCAACCACTACTGAACACAAATACCTTTTTTTGGTCATTATTTGCTGAGCAATAGATACAATGACTATTTAGCTAGCATTTGCTTTGGATTATGCATTATGGGTACCCAGGAGGATGTCTGTAAGGTTATGTGCAAATATTGTATAAAGGATGAATACTGAGGGGCTGACTGTATGCTTTTAGTGCAGGGCAGGAGTCATTTGATGTGGAGTGAGGGGGTCACAGCACTCCCATCATCTCTATCATTCTCCTTCCAGTCATTCCCAGTAGACTTCCACTCTTCCTCCCCAGACTCGCTGCAGCCATTTTCCCTGAAGTTCCTCCTAACTGAAAATCTTGGCGTTGCAGATGAGTTATGGCCAGTGACAATTTTCATCCATTGCCTTTCTTGTAGACGCAGGGATTACATTTTAGAAGATTATATCTGGTTTGTATGTAAAGCATCACCTCAGACCAGGAGCAGAGGCCAACTGTGTTTGGGAGAAGCCCGTGCCTCCGTCATCTTCCTCATGGACTCATTCTCCCCCTCCTCTCTCACAGTTACAGGAAGCAAACTGTGAGGGGCCTTTTGGCTCCTTGTGCTGGCAAGCCCAGTTTGGTCTAGCCCCATCCTCAGCGGTACTGACATTTCACTTAGCACTTTGAGAGGCTGTAGAGACGTAACACAGTTCCCCAAGCTGTCATGATACTTGGACTGCTGTTTTTTTTTTTTTTTTCCAGCGATATGCCACTGGAGAATAATCTTGAAGTCGTAAAACTTTGTTTCCTTTATTAATTCGAGTCAGTGCAACTTGAACTGCATCAACCATTTTATGCCTTTTATGGATCTCATGCACATAGAGTACCTTCATTTGTGGAGCTGAGACTGGCTTCCTTGCAAGCCTGGGGCCCCTAGAAGCTCTTTTTCTGAAGATCACTACTGACCTTCCTGCACAGGTGAAACAGGGGTCCTATAAAGGCAGAGCAGTTGCTTCCCTAGAGGAGACATTAGCTGAATAACAAAATAGTTTCCATTTTTCCTTAAACAGCAACACCAACACACAGAAAGGCTAAAAATGTCAGGTTGTCTGCACTAAGCCAACCCCTGTCAATTTTCCTTTCCATTTAAATGCAAATATGGAAAGAATGAGCAGTCACCTCGAGATATGAATAGCCTCAGATGAGTATGTGACTGCGAGAAGGGGCTATTCCCTAGCCAGATGCCTTGGCCAGGTATAAAACACTGGCATTCAGTTTATTCTGCCCGTATAGTGTTCAGTGTCTCCAGAGAGGCTGGGACTACTACTTCATGTAGGAAAATACCACTCTGCCTGTCGTCCTGCCTCCATCTTCCTCTCCTTTTCCTGCTGAGTCTTGCTGCACCCCTTCCTGTTTGTAGATGTCATTGTTTCATCTTCAAACAAGTACACAATGTACTAAAGCCAAGCACTTGCCAGTAGAAGAAAATCACGTCGAATTGCCAGAGAAGTTTTATACTTTGTAATGCTGGTATTTTAAGACCCTCAACTGAGGATAAAGAACTGTGTCTTCAGAACAGAGGCTCTCAACCAAAAGCATCTTTGTCTCTGAGTGGACATTCAGAAATTTTGGAGGATAGCTCTGGTTCTCACGTCTGGGGGGCGTGCTGCTACCAGGGTCTGGTGGGTAGAGGCTCGAGTTGTTGGTAAACATTCTGCAAAGCACAGGATGCTTCCCCACATTCCAGAGTTACCTGGTCCCAGACATCAATCAATAGTGGCAGAGCTGAAAATCTGATTGGGAGAATAGTATACAGTTTTCTCAGTAGCTCTTTGCATGCATCTTAAAGCATTTGTCAAAGTTTCTATGACGTGTCTCAGTATTCCCTGCCCCAGGGAAGTAACAGTTTTCCCTTCAGCACCACCCTCCCCAGCAACGTCTAAGATGAAGCAGGTGCTGTCCAATGTCTTCCTAAAGTGGCTCTCTTGGCGCTGGTATTGTGGCTCAGCAGGGGAGGCTGCCGCTTGGGTTCCCACCATCCCATGTCAGAGTGCTGGTTCAAACCCTCCCTCCTTCCTCTTCCAGCTTCCTGCTCATGCATCCTGGGAGGCAAAGTGAGGGTTTAAGTTCTCATGTAGCTGGCGCCCACGTGGGAGACGCGCTTGGAGTTCCTGGCTCCTGACTGTGGCCTGCCTGGCCCAGCCCTGACTATTTCAGGCATTTGGGGAGTGACTCAGGGGAAGACAGATCTGTCTCTCTCTCAAGTAGATGAAAATAAAGAACATGGTGCACTGGCACCTTTCCCTCTGTCTCTTGGGCTACCACCACAGGTTATTGTCTGTGCCATTATGATTTCATGATATGCCTAGAGAACAATCATCATTGGGCCTTGTCCAATACAGTTTTGAACCCCACTTTTACGATCTGCTGGTAGAGTGTTGAGTGTGGGGTGATTGCAGTTAAGTGGCAAGATGAGGGAACTGCTTATCTAATTGAGCTTTGCACCTGTTGTTGCCTTTACTTGGCTTCAACTTTGCTTTCTCTGCCACTTGGGTAACGTCCCTGCCCAAGTTCCTCCCTGCTGAGACACCCTCAGTGAGTCCCCATTGGTAATGGAGACAGTACACAGAGTGTATGCACCACAAAAAGGCCTTCACTGATCGTCAGTTTCTCAGCTGTGTCTTTCAAGGTCCAGCCAAGATGGATTGTCCCTGATGCCTATAGTAACGATCTTATCAAAATTCAAAGATAGCAATCAGCACATGATAATGTTAAAAGCAAGTAAGTCTGAGCATATCTTAGCATTTTATTCTCCAAAGTGAACTAGGCATGAGGAATGAGCTACTTCAAATAAGAAGCTTCTAGAAATTATACCCTAGATATAGAATGGTACTTGGCTTAGTTACTTTTCTGTGATGGAATCAGAGCTAACATCACAACAGCCACCGTTTCCTGAGTGCTGACCCTGTGATGGGCACTGGACCACGCAGTAAGGCTCTCGTCAAGTGTCTCACACACTCTTCACAGTACCACTCAGTTTGGCAGGTACTGCTGCCTCCATTTTACAGATGAACCAACTAGGGCACAGAGAGACAATGGACTCTCTCTCTCGACAGGGCTCACTCCCTCATCCAGCCACTCACACCAGAGAGCCCCTGCTGTTCCTTCAGTCCTCTTTTCTCACATCATCATCACGCTTGTCCCAAAGCCCTCTTTGACCAGTGTGATCCCTTGAGGTTGATGGTCTGCCATGCATTCCTTATCTCACCTCTGTGCCTCAGTCAGAAAAAGGCCAAGGTCCTTGCGTCGGCAGCAGACCCACTTGCACCTCCCTCTCCCTAGAAAGTTCTCCCCCCCCATATGGTCAGGCCTCCCTCACTTCCTCCAGGTGTCTCCTCAGACACCTTTCCTGCAGTCCTGTATAGAAGAGGAGCCCTCCTTCTCCCCTGCCCCAGTGTTGCTTTTCTCTGTTCACCAGCTGTGAGCTAACAGTGGATTTTACATTTTGAAATGGTTGGAAAAAATCAAGAGGAGGATAGTTTATAGCACATGAAACCATATGGCATTCAAACTTAAGTGCCTATCAATAAAGTTTTATCGGAACACAGCAATTCTCATTAGTTTACCTATTGTATGTGGCTGCTTTTGTTAGTGATATGAAGACAGAGGGGAGTTGCTACTATTGTGACTAAAGGCTGCAAAGTTGAAATATTTACTGCATTTAGATATTTACAGAAAGGGTTTCCACCCTGTGCTCTAGAATCCAAATTCTATATGAACAGAATTTTGTTTTTGTCTGCTGTGACACCCCCAGCACCAATTAAAGAGCAATTATATTGTGGAATATGTAATTAGGGTCCACATTACTGAAGCTGAGGTTTGAAGAAATACCCTATTGGGTTTAAAGGTCAGGCATCAAAAGTATGCTATCAGATATACTTTACTTTCAAAAAATTTTCATAGTACACATCTGTTGAAATATTTCTCTCCTGAGCTAATTTATAGACTATCCCAAAAGTAAATTTTCTTACGTGATCAAATCAAACTACAGAAATGGCTATTCTATTTTCTCAGATCACACGTGATGAACCTGAATGCTTAAAAATGAAAAATGCAGTAATTAGCTTCTTTTCCTTTTTTCTTTCCTTTTTTTTTTTTTTTTTTTTGACAGGTAGAGTGGACAGTGAGAGAGAGAGAGAGACAGAGAAAGGTCTTCCTTTTGCCGTTGGTTCACCTCCCCAATGGCCGCTGCAGCTGGCGCATTGCGCTGATCCGAAGCCAGGAGCCAGGTGCTTCCTCCTGGTCTCCCGTGTGGGTACAGGGCCCAAGCACTTGGGCCATCCTCCACTGCACTCCCGGGCCACAGCAGAGGACTGGCCTGGAAGAGGGGCAACCGGGACAGAATCCGGCGCCCCGACCGGGACTAGAACCTGGGGTGCCGGTGCCGCTAGGCAGAGGATTAGCCTGTTGAGCTGCAGCGCTGGCCGTAATTACCTTCTTAATGGATAGGCTTTCCTTAAATATAGCAGTTTCAAAAATAACCCATTTTTGGGCCAGCACCATGGCTCACTTGGTTAACCCTCCGCCTGTGGCGCTGGCATCCAAAATGTGCGTGAGGGGTGAACCAACGGAAGGAAGACCTTTCTCTCTGTCTATAACTCTACCTGTCAAATAAAAATAAATAACCCATTTTTTTTTTAACACATTTACTTATTTACCTGAGAGGCAGTTACAGAAAGAAGGAGAGAGAGAGAGGTCTTCCATCTGCTGGTTCACTCCCTAAATGGCTGCAACTGCCAGAGCTGGGCTGATCTGAAGCCAGGGGCTTCCTCCCAGTCTGGGTCATGGATGCAGAGCCCAAGCACTTGGACCATCTTCTGCTGCTTTCTCAGGCCTCAGCAGAGAGCTGGATAAGAAGTGGAGCAGCTAGGACAGGAACTGGCGCCCATGTGGGAAGCCAGCACTGCAGATGGAGGCTTAGCCTATTGTGCCATGGTGCCTGTGCCAAATAGGGTTGGTGAGTGGTGTGTTTGATGAAGCTGCAGCCTGCAATGCTGGCATCCCAGATTTGTATCCTGGCTATTCTACTACTGATCCAGCTCCCTGCTAATGTGCCTGGCAAAGCAGCAGAGGATGGCCCAAGTGCTTGGGCCCCTGCACTCACATGAAAGATCCAGAAGAAGCTCCTGGCTTTGGCTTGGGCAAGCCCTGACCATTGTGTCACTTGGAGAGTGACACAACAGATGGAAAACCCCTCTCTGTATGTAGCTTTGCCTTTCAAATATACAAGTTTTTCAAAAAAAATTTTAAAAATGACTGTCATTTGTGGAGTGCACCAGTGAATGGCAGATCTCTGCCTTTCAAAAAAAATTTTAGCAAAAAAAGGGAATGTTAATTGTATTAAAATGCAAAGACAGTATTTTGATGTAGACATGCATTGATTTTTATCAGCATTCATGTGAAAAATGTTTAGGGCCACTAAAGCGTGCACAGCCTGCTTGGGTTGTTGGACAATGAGTGCACCTAATTAGATGCATTTTGCAAGGTTATAGAAATCCCAAAGTGAGGGCACATCCTACTCGGTGATGGCAGCCTTTGTGCATGTCTTTGCAGCCTAAAAGCACAAGATGTAAAGAAGGATTTCGATGTGAGTAGTTGACTTGGAAGGTAAGGTACAAGCTGAGAAATTATATGCATGTGACACAGGTGGGGCGTTTGAGCAGTCACAGCAACTGGAAGATCTATCTCTGCTGGGTGCACAGTGTCAGATGCTCACGTATTGCGTTTGTTTTAGGTCACACGGTAGCAAAGAGAAAGCTGTGCTGTACTGCCGGAGGCACAGCAGGATGCAGAGCTCTTTGGCCTGGATTACTGCCCTGGCCACTGGATGGCAGACTCTCTTGGGATTCAGCAGCTTCGCCTCTGTGTATGTGTGTTGTGAGAAATGGCGTTCACTGAACTGTCCCACCCTGCTCTGCTTCCTGATTTTATTACACTGAGGCATAACCACAGGCTGCCACACAGTTGAAATCCTGTCTGGATTGCAAAGGAACGTAATTGCAAGAAATCCTGAAGGAACAACTCAGACTTCAAAACAGATGACTGCCAAGAGAACGTGTGGTCCTCGGTCTCTTTTGGGCTCTTCAAAGGAATGCAGCCGTGTGTCAAAGGGTCTTCCTTCGGTTCCTCTTAGGAGCTTGTCCTTTAGCTGTTGCATTCAAGTGGTGGGGAAGGAGTTTCAATAACAAAAACTTTTGGCACAACAGATTCGCAGGTGTACATTAATGAACTTCAATGAACTAGTGCACAACATCTCTGAATACTCTGAAGAGCAGGACTTGTTGGGGTTATTGCATTCACATTTGTGTTTTCGCTTCTGATAATTCAAAATTTGTACTTTAGGTTTTATTGTTAGGTAAGCAGAAATAAAATGAGAGCACTTTCACTTCAGTGCATCATTTTTCTCAGTGCTAAGGAAGCTTATCAATTACCATATTTTATACCTAAAGCTCTACATGACAGTCAAAACACAAAGAAAACTTTTAAGAGTTTTGTGGCTTATGTATAGTCCTGTATAGGTAAATCATCTGAAAAATAGTCTGTTTAGATTAAGGTGATTTCTAAGACCTGGTTTATGCCAATAATACGAAAATACTTTGTTAAGCCTTAAGTCTTTAGATGTTGATTTTTTAGACTACAATTGATTTCTTCCTGACTTATTACTTCTCTTTATTCTTGTCATTTTATTTCCTTAAATGCAGGTAAAATTTGAGTTACTGTTTTCTCAATTGAAGGGTTTTGCCATGGACTTGTGTCCATATATTGTCAAACTGTCATACAAAAAGAAGTGAGACGGATGAAGAATGACTGGCCCAGATTTTAAATGCTATTAACAGACATACCACTATAATAAAATGGAATGACTTTAATATATTAAGAATGCCAAAATCCTACTTTCTGCACTGATGATTCCTCTTTTTACATTTATGTCTGGGGAGAAGAAACTCAACATATAATGTTGCATACCATGGTAAAAATAATTTAGTTTTACTCTTGCAGAAGAAATGGGCGAAGGTGATATACATTTGTGAACTTTTGTTTGAGTTTGGCTGACTTGATGCCTACCAGAGTTGTTGCTATCCTATTAGTAAGTAAAGAAATCTCTTCCTGTTGATGGCATGTAAGTTTCTGTGATTATTTTATGCCTTAAGACTTTGTGCTAACATCCTGGGCTTGCAAATTTTATATGTGAAGATAAAAACTTCTTTTTTTAAAAAAGATATGTAACTTTGGGGGTTGGTGCACACACACTTGGGGGCTCCTACTTCGTGTCTTCTCACCTATGTAGCATTAAGGTGACTATAGGCCAGCGCCACGACTCACTAGGCTAATCCTGCGCCTGCGGTGCCGGCACCCTGGGTTCTAGTCCTGGTCGGGGCACCGGATTCTGTCCTGGTTGCCCCTCTTCCAGGCCAGCTCTCTGCTGTGGCCTGGGAGTGCAGTGGAGGATGGCCCAAGTGCTTGGGCCCTGCACCCCATGGGAGACCAAGAGAAGCACCTGGCTTCTGCCATCGGATCAGCATGGTGTGCCAGCTGCAGCAGCCATTGGGGGGTGAACCAACGGCAAAGGAAGACCTTTCTCTCTCTCACTGTCCACTCTGCCTGTCAAAAAATAAAAAGTGACTATAAAATATAGGGAGGTTCAGTGAAGCTTTGCCACATTGATGTTTTATGCTTACTCTCTTGTGTTGAGTATAAGTCCTTCCACTGTAAGCAAAGTGACTTAAAAATAGTATGTAAGGCAGTTTTATGATACACTAAACAATGCCTTAGTTTTGCATCCAAATAAGATCAAGTGACAATGACACTACTTCACCTTGAGGTGCATTTCTAGGGAGGAAGCTAGTTGGAGGGAATAAACGGGCCATTTGGGGAAATGGTAGGCCTTGAAGCTGCCATTTCATCCATTATTGCCTCAAAGCGTACTTTTTACCTAGAGCCAAAGTGAGCCCTGAAGTGGGGCTTTCTCTGAGAAGCATTTTAATGTTTTCATTCCTATTCCTTTCCTGTAGGAAAGTAGGTAGGAGACTTTTCTGTATTTTTACAGAAAATGAAAAAAGCTACCAAGGGAGTTTGAGGCTATCAGTCATGTCTGCAGTTGGTCCTTGGTTGGTGGCATATGTACTCTCAACCCTGGAGAGGTCTCTGATATTTACATCTCAAGACAAACCTGTGCCAGGACCAGTGTTGGAGCCTAATGGGTTAAGGCACTGCCCTCGGCACTGGCATCCCATATGGGTGCCAGTTTGAGTCCTGGCTGCTCTACTGATCCAGCACCCTGCTGAAGCACCTGGGAAAGTAGTAGAAGATGGCCTAAGTCCTTGGACTCCTGCACCCACGAGGGAGACCCAGAGGAAGATCCTGGCTCCTGGCTTTAGCCTGGCCCAGCTATGGCCATTGTGGCATGAACCAGTGGATGGAAGATCTATCCCCCAGCTCTACCCCAAGCTGTGCCTCTGCCTTTCAAATAAATAAAAATAAATCCTGAGAGAAATAAAAAGGGGGGGGGGGAGCCATTGTAATCCATAAACTGTACTTTGGAAATTTATATTTACTAAATAAAAAAAAAAAGGCATAGCTGCCTTCCAGGACTCTAGACAGAGCCAAGGTCTCTCCAAAGGAACAACCACCCAGTTATCCTAACTCCCTCAAGTTCGGATGTGCTGCTCTAACCCTCTGTACCTTCTCATGGCCTGCCCACGGATTAGTGCAGCTCTCTTCAGTTGTTAAATTCAACAAACGTTGTAGCTCCCAACGTTGCCTGAGTTACTGCTGAAATTCTTTTCTACAAATCCTGTTCTCAACTGAAAGATCTTTATGACTAGTCCCATTTCATAGAGGACAATTTAAGAGTCAGTAAACTTAAAACTGCTCAAACTCACCAAGCTAGTTACTATTGGAAGTGATAAAACACAGGATGTTGTAGAGTTATTTTTTCTTGGAACACTTCTAAAATAACATTCTATTCTGTTTTGCAGGTATCAGGGAGATGGACCAGCCTTAATGTCTCGCTACTATTTGACTGTTTTATTGGCAGCTGCATTCATTGCTATTACCTTAGAAAATGCCAATGAACTATTGACAAATATCATGTTAACGTGTTTAGAAAAGGGTCAAGGGATCCAAGATGGTGGAATAGGGAGGGAGCTTACTGCTATAGTCTAGAGGAAGATAGTTTTAAAACTAAGTGGAGAGAGCACAGTCTCAGGTAGGAGTTAGGGAGACAATGCCAGAGCAAGCTCCAAACAAGTTAGAGGAACACGATGGACCTATGTGAAGGGTGTGGGCACACACAATGCAGGACCCCAGGAGTGCAGAGCCTTAGCACCAGCACTGGTGAGTGAATGGAGACCAGACTGCATAAGTAGCAGCTGTGCCAGCTCACGTCTGCATGTCCAGCAACCAGCTGAGGAAGACAACGGAATCTGGCCGAGAGAACTGACAGGGGACTGGGTGCTTGTGACTGTGGGAGGCTTGTGCGCTAGGACTGTGAAAACACTGAGCTGTGTGTGAGGGCACAGGGTGTGACTGGGACTTTGGGCAGTCACTATGGGTAGGTCCACACACCCGGATTCCCTGGTGAGAGTCACTGCTGTGAGATCCATGCCCAGATCAAGGAATGCACAAATCCTTTGTGCGGTTCTTGTGGCAGCATGGACAAATATTGTACCCACTGGCTCTACTACCAAGGCACTTGTCTCCTTTGAGGAGAGGGGTGAGCATGAGACTACACCAATAAGACAAACTTCCTCTCTGATTAAAAAAAAAAAACTTACCATGCCCAACCTGGGTATCACACTGGACCCTCCCTTTACCCTGGAGCACTTAACAGAGCTCCCTGGCCGTACCCATTACATGCCTCTGCATATTCACTCAAAAAGCAGATACCCTTCTAAGCATTTATCTTTGGACTGTGCTGCTGTGGCTATCACGGGGTGGGGAACCAAAAACTATCTTCACAAATGCTGAATAATAAACATGGCCATTCAACAAACTACAATAAGGAAGACAACGTGATGCCTCCAAAGGAACACAACACTTAAACTAGAATATGAAGATAAAGACATTGAAGAAATGCCAGAGTTTTAATTAAAAAACTGGATCATAGGATTACTAAGAAGTAATCAGAAGCATATCCACCAACTGATGAATTCCATATCATATGAAAAAATTTTTTTCCATGACCTTGAGACCTTAAAGAGAAATCCAAATGACATATTGGAAATCAATTAAATAGAATTAAAAAATGCAGTGGAAAGCCTTAACAGACTCAGAGAGGCAGAGTAAAGAATATCTGAGTGAGAGGACAAATTGCTGGAAATTTCAGTCAGACCAAAAAAAAAAAATTAGAAAAATTCAAAAACAGTGTTTGAGATTAATGGGATATTATCAAATGACCAAGCAAATGGCTCTTAGGTGTTCCTGAAGACATGGAAAGAGAATGGATTAGAATATCTTTTTAGTGAAATACTTAAAGAAAATTTTCCTAATTTGGAGAAAAAAAGTGATATCCAAGTACAGGAAGCACATAGAACTCCCAATAGACATGACCACAAAAGATCTTTACTAAGACACGTTGTGTCAAACTCTCCACAGTAATACATCAAGAAAAGATTCTAAGATGTGCACGAAAGAAATGTCCAATTACTTTCAGAGGATCTCACAGGCGACTTTTCATCAGAAATCCTACAGGCTAGGATACCATGCAGAGATATATTCCAACTCTTAAGAGAAAAAACTATCACCCCAGAGTGTAGCCTGCAAAGCTCTCCTTTATGAATAAAGGTGAAATGAAGACCTTCCGTAACAAACAAATTGAATGAATCAGTTGCTACTCATTCAGCCTTACAAATGATGCTCAAGGATATGCTACACA